ACTGCCTGAACAGGTTTCATTGCTACTAAAGTTGCATTGCTTCTAGCTATTAAACATCTGTGATTAACATGGCATATATGGCAGATGAACGTGTTTACCTGCACTGCAAAAATGTTCATCTTAACAAGCGATGAAGGAAGCTATTCAGCTCTATATTTCTATTTCTCTTTAAGCAACTAAAGACACTGAGCAAATTGCTTAAAGGGGTAGTTGGGATTTTTTGAAGTGGGGTTGTATGAGGTAGTTATCCATAGTCAGTCTATTACCTACAGTAGATGTCAGTCGGCATGGCCCCAGTTTAGTGAAGCAGGCAGGAGTACAGACAGCAAAGCTATGTAATGTATTTCTATGGACAGGGGCAGCAGCAAAATGTATTTTAGCCAACTAAAACAAAAATCAATTTAAGTGATGCCCTTTGTTTTCAACAGGTGACTCCTAGGGGTCCTCAGAGTTATCCAGGGGGGTCGCCAAAGTCTTGTTTGTTTTGTTTTTTTCAAAAATGAAAATGTCTGAAAATACACATTAATATAAAACCAACATATTATTAGCAACGATAAATTGGCCTGTTCCTTAAGAAAAACAATTTTAACTAAACACACCACATTGATGATTGGCCAACTGTTACCTATGAATCCTTGTGCAATAATGTTGGCTAGCAAACACTAAATCACTGTGTGACAGTTTTGTACTACTGAAACATACTGGCCAGTGTATGGACATTCTTGTAACCCACAATGGATTATTCTGTAACTTTTTTAACTTTCTGAAGAGGCTTTTTGATGAGATACTGTCCACCTCAGAAACAAAAATGATATATACATATAAGAATCTGCTGGTAATTGATAATTTAATAGCTAAGTATTGTATGTACCATATATATGGCACTTAAGACCCAACTACACGTTATTGTAGCCCCAGTTTAATATGCAACTCAAGTTTGCAATATATGTAGTAGGGGTCCCTGCTTCGTCTTTCTTTCAGCTAAGGGGTCCTTGGACGCCTAAAAAATGTTTAAGACCCCTGGTGTACGCTATATTTTGAATATATTCACTGCTTTACCTTGGCGCCCTTTCCGACAGGGAACTGAAGCTGTTATATTTATCTGTGCTCTCTTTGTAGCCACCAGACTCCTTTGACAAAAACAGTAATTTTACCTCACAGAACACAGGAGCTACTGGTCTACAGCTGCCTCGTATGATTAGTTAGTCTGTGTTATTGTGTGACTCTGATGAATCTAAACTAACCCGTTAAAACACTAAAGTCACACTATCACTCAAACAAACTAACTTATCGGGGCAGCGGTAGACCAGCAACTCCTGTGTTCTGCGAGGTAAAATTACTGTTTCTGTCAAAGGTGTCTGGTGGCTACAAAAAGTGCACAGCTAACGGCTTCAATTTCCAATGTAAAGGGGTAAAAATATTCTAAATGTAGCGTACACTTAAACTGATATTAATATTTTTTTAGGTGGTGCCCCCGTCCACAGCAGCATTCACGTGAGTACCCCTGCCTGATTCTTCAAACTGGAGACGTGTTGTCCGCCATCTACCACAGATAATACACTTACTATGGGCAAGTACCTCATACAACCCCACCACAAAAAAGCAGAACTATCCCTTTAAGTGGAAGCAGAACCAGTTAGTTCATGAACTTCCTTGATCAAGCTGAAATGTTGTGGGATAAACTGCAACCCACTGGCATTACATTCACAGACATGTTTGTATATGGTTGGCTTACCAAAATCCCCCCAAAGAAACCCCAGACAAAGTTTTCACTGACTGTACCAGTATCTAGCCATGCATTTAGTTTTACTTTCTTTCTGAGTGACTATTTCTTCAAGAGAAAGTAGTTCAAATGAAAAGTAAAAAGACTGATACCTGAACTAGCTGCATGTTTAGATATCGCTAGTAACAAGTGAAAAAATGTCCTCTGTAGTTTGGGCGAACTGACCCTTGAAAAAAATCACTGTTTTTCGTCTTGTTAAGTTGGACAGTTTTGCTGTGTGGACACAAATTGCATAATGAGCCAGCAGCTCTCCTTAAAGTTGGTTTGAAAAGTATTACAGAGTTTATACAGTCCATATAGTAAAACTAACTCTATAATGAAAACATTGCAATCAGTCAAAAAGCATCAGAATTACATGACAGTTGTTGACCGCAAAAAACAACAAAAGCATATACTGTACACTGTATACTCCGATATCATAAAGAAAACTGTCGATCACTCCCGATATACTGTGTGGAAAGACCTTAGAACTATCAACTAAAAACACTATTAACAACTGAGCTTCACCACTGTCTGTGAGTTTATGGTTGTTGGGCGTTAGACACACTGGATTTGAGTGTGTGGAACAGAAAAAAAAAGTGCAGTCACAAAAGTGTTGGTCCAACAAACTGGATAATGGATGCGTCAGCAGTGGCGGATGACTCAACCAGATTGCCCGTTCGCAGAGGAACTGACTCTTAATATAAAACACTGAGAAATGCTGCATGCATTAACTTGAGAGCTTATCAAATGAGCTTCAAACAACTGGGCTGGGCCACGGATGTGTATGGTTCACATTTCTATCTTATCTGAGATTTATTCAAAAATATACCAGACAAATTAAAAAAAACACACACCAAAGAAATCTAGCTTTGGTGCACAGTGAGAGAGAGCACCAAGCTACTGTACAGCCCCCACCATAGAAAGAAGGAATATGTAACAACTATAGATGTAACAACGAAGAGGCACAACTAAAATCTATAACATGCTCAGATTTGCTCTAACACACACACACACACACACACACACACACACAAACACACACACACACAATCGCACACGACAACTATGCTCATTTGCCAGATACGCTTTAGTCTTTGATAAATGGCAAATGTGTGAACCACGGGGCACAGCATATGGTGGTGGTGGCACCATCTTGTAGAGCGACGCTCCAATGACAACGAGGAGAAGACGAGCTCATCACAATGACTAAAGGCACTTCTAATCTTTCTCGCTCACACGTGTTTATAGCCCTCTAATCAGAAGCACCGCCGTCGCCTCTACTTTAATTCTTGGGGTTTTTAACGACTTGCCAAGAACTGTGCAAAGTACAGTACAATTGATTCGTCCTGACTGAAATCAAAATGACGTCTTGGTTTTTCAAACTTTTCAGGTTGAGTTAGGTTTTGTTTGAAAGTGTGATTGGTCTGTTTGAAAAAATGCTGCTACCTGAAGTTTGTGAATCAACATTTCAGAAACAGAAATGGTACCGTGCTGAGAAGTACTGTGTTTGTTGGAAGCTTAGGTCTTCACATGAAACGTACATAACTGACTTTGATGACCAGAAGAGTGGGTGAATATCTCACTTTGATTTCTCTACCTCCTAAACAAAAATAAACATAAATAGGGATGCACCGATTTATCTGACAAACTTCAGGTAATGGCGTCCCGTCGTCCCAGGGACAATAGAAAACTTACTATCGCTGTGTTAGGGGATGCACACTATTATTATTTTCCTGATAATGCTACACTATGAACAACAAATATGTGTTGAGATCGGCAGGAGGAGAGTTAACGTCGTTAGCAGCTGGTGGCCAGAACTAACTGCTAACAGAGCTACATTATGATGCGTTCAAGCTCTATTCTGTATAAATTAGTACTGGGTTAAGGTAATTTAAAGTGTTAAGATGATGTTTTCAAATGTAAAAACTTGAATACAAACTGTAGTCTGAAGAAGAAATTTGTTTATGTTTTAACAGCAATATAAAATACATACTAGAGAGGAAATTAAGATGTATTATATACAGTAAAAAGGCTTTTGAAGCATTTTTAAGGATGTTTTTCATGTGAGAAAAGGTTATTTTAAAGGTTGTTTCATAAAACGGTACGATTGAATTTGTGCTCACTCAAAAGTAGTGTTATGAAAGACTGAATGACTTTAAAAGAGTTCAGATTTTTTGTTTTTTTAATGATGATTCTTTGGAAAATAAAATCGTCTCTCAGCTAAATCGTTTTTTTAAACATCGGTTTCAGCCTAAAATTTCACAATCGGTGCATCCCTAAAAATAAATCCAAAATGCCAAATGTGCAACCCTTATTAACAGTGCACTTTTTTTTTTCCCTAAAACGTTCTATTGCAAACAGCATTTGCCTCTTCTATACCTTTCTACAAAAATACTTTTTCTCTTTTTGGCAATCTGAGTCTACGACATGTCAGAAATGTGAGAGATTATTCATTCATTCTCAAGAAATCAACCACGTAAATCAAATCTTAAAAGCGGCATTGCGTGATGCCTCTTTTCATTTTCATCGACCACACGACAACAACTGTATAACCCTGCTTCTACATGAATTAACTGTGCTTTGAAAGTGACATAGAACAATGATCGTACAGTCTTTAACCTCAAGCCAAATGAACATGAGGGAAAGGGGGGAAATCCACTGCCACAGCACAGAACGGAGGGAGGGAACTGATCTGAAAACTTAGTATTACCCACATATATGTTGTGCATAGTACTACCACACATCATACCGTATTTGCACTACAATAAGTACAATTATCAACCACTGGTGCCAAGTGGAAAAGGAAAAACAACACCCCAAATGAAGGACTCCATGCACACTGTACTAGATAATCTCTCAGACCACAGACGCCATGCCAAATGGCAAAAAGGACTGGTTCTTTTTTCTTTCTTGCTACATGAAAAGACATCCTTCATTTGACTCACATTAGCTGGATACTGTGCATCCTTAAACAGAATCTATGAGCATAGCAAATATTCTGAAAACATAAAGAAACACAGCGATGAAACTGTGTAAAAGTCACATACACCGACTGCATGTGTGTCTGAAATATACTGTACATGAGTTATATTACTGCTTTCTTTTCTTTTTTTTTGTACATCAAATGTTCTACAGCTCTGTGAGTCAAGCTTGTGATGAAATGAACAGTCAAGCGCGAGGGGGCGGGGCAAGGAAGTACCGTGAGTAAAATCTGCATCAAAAAAACAACAATAAACATCTGCAAGGACATTGTACCACTAAAACACTCTAATCTAACTAGAGACAAGGCAAATACAGTACCAAAGATACAATAATCACATAGATTGATGCTCTGCGAGTGTCTTTAGCATATAGAAACAAGACACATAAGAGGAGCACTAACAGTTATGCCTTAAGTCAATGGCTACAGGTGCTACAGTATCAAAGAGGATGAAAAAAGAAGGAAGAAGTTTGAAACAAAGAGACGTTTGATGCTGGAGTCTTTCCACAATTTCCGTTTTGAAGGAAACCTGAATCATGTGGAACTGCATTAATCATCACCATCTAGTGTATTGTGATTAAAATTTTATACTCACAATATACCAAATATGTACCATGCATTTCTATCCTGCAATACAGCATTCACTGTATGTTGTACCTCATCATTTAAAAAAGGAGGCCCACTGAGAGAGAGCAACAAGCCAAAGCAGTTGGAAATAAAGATCATTTCATAAAAAATATACCTATATGTGTATTTTTTTTTTTTTTAAAGCTGTAGCTTCGTCTATGTCGACAGCCATCCATTCCCTCCCTCCTTCTTTCAACCTCGACGTGCCCCCTCGTTCTAGTGACACAGGCTTGTGGTCATTCAAAGCTATTACTATGGCACTTAAGCAAGCTTTAAACTGAATCAATCTTTTTTTTTTTTTAAACCCCGTAAAAACACCACCCCCAGCGATTTCTCCCCCCATGCCCTCCCACACCCCCCTCGGCTCCAGTGACTCAGCCGCCTGTAGGTGTGAAGCGAGCAGCCTGGTTCAGCCAAGCCAGTCCTTTCAGTGGATGACAGCTCAGGCTTTTGTCTACGGAGAGTTTGCAGGCAGTCTGGGGATGACAGATCGGGCCTTTGTCTATGGACAGTTATCACGTGTTCAAGGCAAAAAAAAAAAACAAAAGTGCCTCCTGTAAATTTTCCCATCATCCCACCGTCTGGTTTCTCTCCTCTTCTCGACGATCTTGAAATCATTGTGTGTGCTTATTTTGTCTTCTTTGAACACATCTAGTCTGGATTTTTATCTCTGTATCAAAAGGTATTTTCTTTTTTTTCTCCATTACTGACACTGTACAGTCGAGGCTGGCTAATGCAACACTCTCCTCAAGTTAAAACTCACTGCGTCAGCCAGGCTAACTGTACAGTGCGTCCATACTGGTAGTAGTGTGCTTATTTCGAAGCCATGCTGTTAGCAAGGAGTGCTCTTTGCCGGACTGGGGGCAGTGCTGGAAATTAGCACCAGCCTCCAGTCAGAAAATATGAATTTTAAGTCATGGCTGTTGAGTCTCTTTCTCTTTGCCACTTAAAAGAACAGGCATTGTTCTGAGGATTATTTTTTTCCCAATGCATATGAGTGAAAATGTTGCTTCCCCACCCTGTTTGGCGTCCTACACTGCTGGTGGATAATTCATCTGGGGTGCTGGTTCTGGTTCTGAGAGCGGGCCAGGACTGGGTAGGCAAGATTTACATTCAGCTGGTCATTGTGTTGGACCAAGGAGACGTTTTTGTAGTGGAGCACCAGGTCTTTGAGGGACGAGTACAGATTGTAGGGCTCGGCGAATCCGTAACCTGTGGCTGTCTTGTAGATGACGCAGTGCTTGGTGTCGCCCTCCACACTGGAAAGAAGGACAGAGATCATTTTTACACCTGTTCAACATTAGCCTAAACATAAAATGACATCACTATATACATTGCTTGAAGACATTTTGGCTTGTTGTGGAAGGAAAAGTACATTTGGTGAGTTATTTAAGTGTATGAAGAAATAGATCAAAACAACAGAACTTACACTACAGAACAGGCGTAGGAGCCCTTCTGTGATTGGCTGTCACGGATGAGGAAGGTCCCGTCACATTTGCCTCTCAGCATTTCCTCAGCCTGGGTGCGTTTGATGTCGCCCACGTACCAGGTACACTCATCATGGTGGGGTGAACCCTCGTCCTCCTCCAGTGAGTAGGAGCTGGAAACACAGACACAAAGCAGGAGATACTCAGTAACATCTCACATATCATGGACACAACACTGAGCTCCAACCACTCCCTAAATTACAGGTGGAGAAACTGCAGCACCCAGTCATCACAGCACACGCTGCTGAGCTGTTAATTGATCTCAAACACTTACTCATCAGCATCATTCTTTATGCCCAGCCATTCATTGATCTTCTTCTGCCTTGTCCCCTTCTGTGTCAACCATCTGTAAAGCCAAAACACCACAGACTGAATCATAACAGTCTACATTTATACACAACACAGGAAGATAAGATATTACAAAGCACAGAGTAAAGATTTTGTACTTCAGACTTGGAGTAATTTATTCTTACATTAGGTACTGGTCTCTGATTTTGCGGAGCTGCATGAGATCTGGCTTGAGGCTGTTCATATTCTTGTCGATCTCTCTGTTATCGGAGACCTGCTGTCTCAAGTCCTGCTCCAGCTTACGCTTGCTGTCGTGGATCTCCTTCACACGAGACTTCAAACGCTCCGAGTTGCTCTGGATCCTGATGCAAGGGACAAAATGATGTGTGAATGTGTTCTTTAAATGTTGAACAAAAAAATATGTCAAAATACTATTCAGTAAAAATGGTATTCGTCTGTTGCATTTGTTTTGAATTTGTCTTGCTTGTGAAGCCGAATTACACCAGGATTATCAAGAATCTTGTGCACATAAACATGAATTTACTTTTGAATCTCTTTTTCATTGCCCTCGCGTTGGAACCGCTCCAGAGACTCTCTGCTGTAGCGCTCCTGCGTCTCGCACTGCTCCTCGAAGATCTTGATGGTCTCATTGAAGGCCTCAATGGCTGTGCGCTTCATCTGCAGCTCCTGTGGGAAACAAGGACACAGACTGTGACATGTGTCCATTTGATGATTCACTGTATCTCCCTGCTTACGTTAAAAAGTTATGTTATGTTATGGTGTAATTTTTTACAGTTCTATTTTAGTTTGCACTTTGTTATCAATTAGTTATTATTTGTGCTTATCTTCTGGATATACTGTATGTTTTCAAGATGTCTAAATGATTGCAACTTTGTGCAGTATATGAAGAATATTATGATTTATTAAACTGTGTAGCCCACCCCCAGTTGTGTCTATGTGTGTGTACGTGTGTTGGACTCATACCTGTGAGGTGCGTGTGTATTCTTCGTACAGAGAGTCGTACTCGCGGCTCTTCTCCTGGTACTGCTCGTGGTAGACCTTCAGCTGCTCTCCCACCTCCTCTATGCTGTTCTCCTTCACCAGCTGAGCCGTGCAAAATGGAGATGAGAGCAAAGAAACCACTTTTATGAATGAAATAATGTCATGTCACAATTATAGGAGGCTTGCAGAGAGAGTTTGCTCATAGTTGAATTTGATGATACAAAGTCACTGACCTGTTGGTATTTGGAGACAGGGTACAGAAGCTTGGTGTCCAGTTTGGCGTTGTATTGGGCCAGGGACTCATGGCGGTAGTGATTGATGAGCTCCACCACAGACAGGAAGGTAAGAGGCTCAGAGAAGCCGTACCTCCCGTCTCTGTGGTAAATCTTTATCAGCTTGTTGTTCCCTCCTTTCCTGCAGGGGGAGACAGAAGACAAATGAGGATAAAGGAACATGTCAGGGCATATAAATGTAGCCTGAATCATAACAGCAAAGGTCTGAATGTGTATCTGTTGATTCAAATGTGTTTCAAACTGGTGTAGGGAGACAGTAGTGTTGCTTTACCTGAGGGTGAGAGTGTATTCGCCTTCCAGTTTACTCGAGGCATCTCGGACCAGGAAGGTGCCGTCTGGAGTGTCTCGCAGCTTTTCATTCACCTCCTCTCTGCAAATACCATGACATGCAGTATTTAATATATTTATTAATGAACACTAACAACAATAACATAACTTCCACAATTATAAATAGGTTAAATATGGAACACTGATTTCTCGAAGCTGTGTCATGTGTATCAGACCGGTATCCAGTAAACATGGTGTCTGATATCAATGGAGTGTTTGTTATTTGATACTGTAAAGAGGACCTATTATGCTCATTGTTAGGTTCATACTAGTATAAGTTTCTACTGGAACATGTTTACATACTTTAATGGTCAAAAACACTTAATTCTCCTCATACTGTCTGTGCTGTAACACTTGTATTTACCCTCTGTCTGAGACGCTTCGTTAAGCACCTGTCTCTTCTAACAAAGCCTGGTCTGCTCTTACTGGGCAGCATCACCAAGTCTTCCGTATCTTGGCAATTGTGCCAGTGTTGCCAACATTCTTGCTAGATTCGACAAATCTTCAGAACCCTAGACACTTTCTTTCTTTCTTTTTTTTTAAAGATATTTTTTGGGGCATTTTTAGCCTTTAATAGATAGGACAGACAAGCTTGAAAAGGGGGGGGGGGGGGGGGGGGGGGGGGGGGGGGGTGACATGCAGCAAAGGGCCACAGGCTGGAGTCGAACCCGGGCCACAGCGGCAACAGCCTTGTACATGGGGCGCCTGCTCTACCACTAAGCCACCGACGCCCCGACACTTTATTTCTAAACAGCAACTAGCGACAAATTAAACAACTTATTCAGACCATCAGGGAATCAGGGAAAAGAGGAAAAATCCATTATATTATAATCAATTCCCCTGCATGCTGCTCAGAATAAGAGAGAATAGCTGCATTTCTCCCGTGAATAACCTCTAATAAAAACTTCTCAACACAACCGGACATGTACCAGCAGGAATCTGATCCAAAATCAGGGTGAAATTAAAAACATCAGCAACCAAGTTTACGTGTTTCCCTGATGTTAGCATGTAGCTACATGTAGCAGTGTTGGCTACATTTTGTAAAACTTGCATTAGCATGCCCGGAGCAGATAACCATATCAAGAAATCTGCCACAAGCTGATGGTAAGCTTGTTTCGAAGGTAAAAAAAACTATTCAAAACAGAGTGTTCAGAATGGTCAGAAACACAAAGTTTGGGCTCAGGGGATTATTTTTGCATATGTTTACCTCATTATTTGAAACTTTGGCCGTGTTTAATACAAACATCAGGCATTTTAAGATTATATCTACGACAGAGAATAAGGACAAGCATATAAGGTCTCCTTTTAATGAATAAAAAAACATTAACTCCGATCAAATTCAATAGTAACAGTAATAAATTTCCATTATTTACCTGGAGATTTCTCCCCAGTACCACTCAGCATCATTCAGCAGGCTGCAGGTGTCTGTAATGGCTGACGGAGCCAGTTTTGTCTTGACAGGCTTTGCTGGAAGAACTGCACACACATAAACACACAATGATCACCATTAAAATCATTTAACAAAAATGGAATGGATCCAAACAGTCACTTAATATTCTAAGTCCCTGGAAACTGCTAGAAATGTACCTGCAGGAATAAAGGTGTCTGTGAGAAACTTTATGAAACACATTGCAAAATCAGCATGTTACTGCATAAAATAGGCTTGCTGTGGTTGTCAGTGTTACCGGTTTTACACGGGGTTAGGCATACACAGATTACTTTACGTTAAATCAATACTTAATTGGATGACGGACATTGCAATTGCAAAACTAAAAGTACAGTCTGTACAGCAGCAGCAAAGAGAAGCAGGAGTCGGATTTCACTTCTAACATGAAGACAGTAAAGAGATTGATTAAACAAGATGGTGGTGGAGGATTTTTTGGGGTTTATTTGGCAATATTTTGGTTAAGACCCAATTCTAAAAAGGAGCAGCATATTTCAAACTGATCCACTGTCAGAAAAATGCCAAAAATGACTGCTCTCTTGTTTTGTAGATGAATTTTTGATTAACAACAGCTGTAGTGATCCTCTCAATGACAAAGAAACATTGAAACTGTTTCCTCGGTTAAATACTTTTAATGTAAAGCTGCTGTTTGGTTTGATTAACAGTAACTTAATACAGAGCTCTAACGACACTGAGCATCACTGATGGATATCTTTTCTTGAAAAAATGTCCAGTGTAATCGCTAACACCTGTGCTGTCTCGAGTTTATTAACCGGTGAGCGAAATTCCTCACCATGGCATCCCTAGCATACAAATAAAAATAGTTCTATGCAGTCTTACTGAAAATAACTCACCTGGAGGAGTCAGGTCTTGCTCCGCAGTTCTCTCTATCAGCAACCTCTCCACGACAAGGGCAGGGAAGTCTTCATCCACTGACAACCTGCAAGTCAATCGATCAATGGACAGTTTAAAAATACAAAACTGAGACTCCCAATTTGACACATGTAATAAATTCAAACTCCCAATTTGCTTCTTTACTTCAGTTGCCTGATGCTTCACAGAACTAACAAATCCAAGGTGCCCAATTCTTTAACGTCACACTCTCTATCTCCAACTAACCAACCAACCACAACTCACCAAGGGGTGGAGGGGCCTGTCCGTATCAGCAGCGGTCCGAAGATCTTCCCCAGCGTGTGTGTATCCAGGCCATTGCTGGTCTGTGCCTGGGTGACCTTGGCCAGGTGTGTGAGGAGGTACTGCAGGGTGAGGCGGTGATGGAGAGGGACGGAGGTGGAGCTCTCGAGGACCAGGCTTACCTCTCTGTCATGGCTTCCAGCGACTGCACCATCTGGACAAGGTGAGAAATAACCGTGAAAATGATCTATACACTTATACACTAATCTGACAACTTTATCAGAAGAGAATCAGAGTTAAGATATTTAACAAAGATGTTTGTACGTTCTGTTCAGTCTGTATCTAAGACTTTCTGACCCTTACTTCTATCTCCATCAAGTCTGTCTCATAAGTAGTCACAAAGCACGGTCAGTGGGGTCAGTGCATGTTTCTGTAAATAGGTCGAGTGTATATCTGAAATTAAATCATGGAGTCCTTTGTGCAGAGGAGAATCAGCTGAAGAATTTCTAACATGCCTCAGTGAGCTCATCCTCTCCCAACACTTGACTCTATTCTCTCAACACTGACATGCAACTGACCTCGATCAGCTGCATATTAGGCTCAGTTTGGGCCCTGTGCAATTCTTTTGTTTAAATTACAGGTACAGAAGCGATGACAGGTGTCTTTAATATTTACTAAAACAACACAAAAAGCAGCCTGTAGCTTATTTTTGGGGGCTCAAGCTATTAACTGCCAATTGTGTGTGCTTCACATTACTGTGGACCATTTTCTAGCGCATACCATCAGTTTTTAGATATATAAATGCATATTTTCCAGGTGCGACTGGTTTCAGCTCATGGTTTAACACGAAGTCTGTTTTACCTCTCTGCAAAAGTTACATTATGGTTGTATGGTAATGTAGCTGGGAGCAGAGGTTTTAAAAGCAGCTCCTCACTGACGTGTAAATGTTCTTGTGAGGCACTCAAACATCTAACTCCATGTTTGTTTACTGTTTGTCTTCAGGGTTTGATTTTCCAACGACACACATCATCAGTTAAATATTTTATAGCAGCTGCTATTTGGCCAACTGTTTTAAGAACAGCTCCAGTCCTCAGCTGCAATACCCTGACGTGTTTAGGAAAATGGTCGACAGTAGTGTGCAGCATCAGCTGAAACCTCTGCTAATGGTCCGTTAACAAGCCATTACCAAACAGAGGCACATAAAAGATGACACCTTTACTAATTTGAGAAATGAGTGTTTAGTCAATAGTATCATCAGCTTGAAGTGTGACAGGAGACCTACCTGCTGACTGCTGCAGGAGCTGCTGCTGCAGTGTGACAGCGGTCTGAAGGTGAGCATACACACAGTTGGGGACGAGGGGTGACGGGAGGTCTCTCAGGTAGTTCAGGACACACTCGGACAGGTACCCCACATCTTTCTGACACATCTCACTCTCTGGAGCCACAATGACACATACAAAGACATTTAGGGACAAAATTCTACCAAACTCGATCAGCTAAAAAGAAACTTGAATTTATATCTGCTCTGTTCTGCTGTGGGCTGAACTGTCTCTAAGTTCATCTGAGGCAGGTGAGCTGTACTGTACAGGGCCAACAGCAGAGGGCATCTTTCACTGAAGTAAAATATCCCGAGCCTCATTCTAATAACAGCTGAATATTCATTTCTTTATTTCTATTCAATTTTTCATTACTCCCTTCTCATCACATATTCATTACTTATTTTTCAATATGTATATGTATCTTTATAATTCCTATTATTTCTTTTTTTCGAATTTTCCTTATGTCGTTTGCTATGTTTTTACACTCATACCTAGTCGAGCTCTGTATTTTCTTTTTCGGTCCTTGTGCATATATACTTTTTTTGTTTTATTATGTAGAGTCACGACGGTGTTCATTTTGCACCAATAATAATAATAATAATAAAAAACACACACTCAAAAGTGAACACACATACAGATAATTTCACAGACCCCAACAAAACAAAGATTAAAAAGTGTATATCTCTGACACAGCCTAACTCACCAGAGCTCAAGCTGTACACTGGGCTGTCTGAACCTGAGGAAACAGTTGACCTGTACAATATCTTGCAGTCCAGACCTGAGAGAGACAAAAAGAGCAGCTGAGTGAAGGCTCACACAACAAGTACATAGAACAGAACACAGTTAAGTGGAGCAGAGTAGAAAAGAGACTGGGAATATAAACAGTACTCAATAGTACAAATATTTATAAAATGAAATGCACATGTGAGCCCAACGCTGCAGCCAGAAGCTCACTCTAACGTAGGAGATGACGCTACGGCTGCCTGACTCGGATGGGATGATCTACTGCGATGTTAAAGACATGTAAGCCACAGTATGTGCGCAGACGTTTTATTATCGGCTGGACGGTGTTTGTTTATAAGCAATAACTTGTACGTGACAACACGCATGGCCAGATATTTCTTTTTGGGAACACTCAGCGCAAATTTTCCAGCTGCTTGTTGTTTTCATTCCAGTCTCACATCCAACAACACAGAGAAGGTGATCAATCAACTGGGGGGAGTTGGTCCCTCAAATGTTCTCGCACGAGCAATATTTACAAGAGCAGAGCCAACACGTTTGTTCTTTTCTTCTCGGAAAAAGTGTGATTCATTTAGCAACTCTGACACAGCACAGAAAATATAAACTCTCAACTGAAACCCGAGATCATGGAATTATTTTAAGCAGATAGCAGATTTCAACATCGAGTGCAAATATCCCAGAGGAAAACATGTTAACTCTGAATGACCACATTTCTCTTTTGGGTCCCAGGCTAACAAAAAAAAAAGCATTTAGGAACACTAGGTCTAGACAGCTTGCATCTAGGAGGCAAGTCCTTGAGACTCGCCAGTCTCTCAGGTAATTGTGAAAACCACACCATGCAGTCACAGCATGTGTGCATCCAACACTGGGAAGTAGTTCAGTATTAGTGCGACATCATATTATTTACACTCAGAGACAGACCTCCTGTCGCCCCGCTAGTAAATATCAATATTGAAATCTTTCCCAGTGACGAGCACGAGAAGAATTTAGGCGAACCTTTCTCAGATGGAGAGCCAGAAGAGTCACATTTAAAATCTATGCTACATAACTTGTCACTTTAACACTGCACCTCACATACATATTAGCAGTGGGAATCTCCAGGCACCTCACGATTCGATTTTGATTCAGAGGGTAACAATTCGATAATAAAACGATATCAGGTTTCTACCATTTTTTTTCCTGTTAAAGGTTTTTTCGGGAGTTTTTCCTTATCTGCTGTGAGGGTCTTAAGGACAGAGGGATGTTCTATGCTGTGAAGCCCTCTGAGGGAAATTGTGATTTGTGATATTGGGCTTTATAAATAAAAACTGAACTGAAATGAAAAGACTAAAGCTGTGCCCCAGTTCCAACAAAATGTGCAAATCTGCAAATGCAACCTCTACACATGTCTGCATATATTTCTAAAACTAGATTGTGCTCAGGTGACGCCTTATCATCTCAGCTGTGCATTTATTATGTACCTCTGAACTGGAAATGTAATTTTTCCTTATTACCTCGGGTGGATTTTATTTCAGACAAATTATACTTGGATGTGAGCAAAAGTATAATTAGTTACAAGACGTGTGGATATACGTTTCCATAGCCACACCTTGGTTTGAGAAAAGTGTTTGGTGGTGTTACAATCATACCGGTTCTCCCATGACACCACTGAGCGCTCCCTAGTGACTGGTTTCCGCATGAAGTTTGAGAAACTACATGTGCCAGCTCCCCAAGAGGATTACTGGTGTCCCTTAATGTGGATGTGATATAGAGTCACTGTATTTCTACAGCTGACTGTTTTGTGACTGTTGAACTTTACTACCATCTACTGGACTGTAAAGGGACAGTTCGAAATCTTTGAAGTGGGGTTGTATGAGGTACTTATCTGTATTAAGTGTATTACCTACGGTAAGTGTCGGTGTGCACACTCCCAGTTTGGAGAAGCAGGCTGGAGTCTGACGTGGAAGCTAAGCAATGTACTGCTGTGGATGGGTTCTACAACAAAATGTATTTTAGCCACCTAAGAAAAAAATCTAAACAGGTTAAGTGTACACTTTGTTGAGAACATTTTTATGGCTTTACCTTTTTGTCAGACAGCCCATTCCCATAGTTCTGGCAACAATTAAATCGTAGGCAACTGGACTTTGATTTTGTCTAGAAGACGTTTCGCCTCTTATCCAAGCGGCTTCATCAGTTCTCAACGCATCAGTCTGACTAGTCCTCACTAGTCTGACAAACAGTGGAGTAAGACTCAGGTTTTTAACCTCTGTGGAGGTGTACACCCACCACCCTCATAAGACAATACTTCGTTAGTGGAGAAAAAATTCCCATAGTTCACCATCTATGCTCTCTTCAGAGCCACCAGACTCCTTTTCCATCAGATAGTTTGTGTTATTATTTGACTTTGTTGTTTAAACGGGTTAGATCAGATTCACCAAAGTCACACAGTAACACAAACAAACTAACTGATCGAGGTTGTGGTAGACCAGCAGCTCCTGAATGCAGCGATGTTAAATCACTGTTTCTTTCCATGGAATCTGACTTCCAGAGAGAGCGATATACCAGCTCCAGTTCCCAGTCAGAAATCGATATCTGACAGCCAGGTAAAGTGGCTGTCAGATATCGATTTAGCTTCTGTGTTGGACTAAATAAAGGCTGCTTCTCCAAACTGGAGCATGCCGACTGACATCTACTGTGGGTAATAAACTGACTGTGGATAGGTATCACATATAACTCCACTTCAAAAGATCTGAACGGTCCCTGTAAGATTTGAGGCATTTATTCTACCAAGGCAAAATGCCCTATCTCACAAATAATTTGGTTGATTTAATGGGTTCTTCGTTGGTCCTTGCTACACCTTTTCTCCAAGTACCATGAAAACTGGGACTGAAAACGTAACCTCCTTCATGGACCTAACAGGTATACTATAAAGATTAACTACATAAGGTTAAGTGTACTACATTGTACATTAAATGCGACTATCTCTGCATATGCCTAGGTATGCATAGGTGTAGAGCTGAAACAATGAGTCAATTAATCGATTGGTCAATTCACAGAAAATTAACTAACAACTATTTTGATAACTGATTCACTGTTTCAGTCATTTTCAACAAAAATTGCCCAAATTCCCACTTCCATTGTGATGATTTGCTGCTAGTTTTGGGCTGTTGCGGCCAAAATACATGGAGCACAGACACAGCACGACACGTCTGCAGCAACTTATCAATAGCAGAGCACGTCTATTACAATCAGCTGAAGCTGCAAGCTGCTACACTGACCACTGTTTTTTTCTCCACACACAATGCAGCCCTCCAACAAGTAGAAACTATATAAAACTGTGTAAAAATCTATTAAAATCTGTTTAAAAATGTTTAAAATGAATACCTAATTGTACCAGAGGACATGCGAAGCAGCAGAACAACCTTGTCTTTACATTTCACATTAAAATAAATCAATCAAATCAATGCATCCTGTAGTTTAAATAATCCAGTTAATTAATTCAGTGCCACTTAATATAGCGTGTACGCTTCCAAACCCTCCATAAACAACTATCACTTGGCAAAATTCAATATGCACACAGTGAAGCTGGCAGAATCACACACTACAAAGACAGAGACTGTGTAGCAGGTATGATGTGTTGAATGATCCATGTCCCATGAATTTCACCCACTGGTCAGAGAAAACAAGCAGTTTGAAGACATTATAGCTCTGACAAATTTTTGACATTTAATCTACATTGAATTACTAACCCATTAACAGAGAACATAATCTGCAGATTAATCACTCATGAAAATAATTAGTAGTTGCAACCCCACAAATGTGTGCGTGTGTGTGAGTGAGTGAAACAAACAGACAGAGAAAAAATAAAAAAAGGAAGACAGAAAAAACTGTGAATGGAGTCCCACTGAGAGCTATTTGTTAATAACATAGTATGACTCAAACCCACTGTGCAGGACTCTCAGTGAGGCCAACGAGAACCGCTCTGACTTTAACCACATTAAACTTAAACATAGGAAATCTACATCGAGTCGCTAACCGACTCGAGGAGCTGCTGCGAGTGTGCACGAGCTTGTGAGTGCACTTCTACATCTGCCTGGCTGGATCCACATGTCTATAAGTCTACACTTGTGCAAACGCTGGCATGAGAGCAAGAGGCAGATGGCGGGAGGGAGGGAGACAGTCGCACGTAGACGGAAAGACAGGGAGGCGAGACAGACGAGTACGTTGGCCGGCTGACATGGATATACCTCTCTTCTCTATGGCTTGGATCAGGCTGACGAGGGCTGGGGGAGCCGTCTCTGGTGGTGTGAACTGCTCGCTCAGGTCCGGCACAGAAACAGCTGAAACAACAACACAAATCACTGTTACAATTCTGGCACAAAGCCTCTGAAAGGCCACAGGGGTGCTGCAGCACTGACAAGGGCACAGTTAACTAGGAGCAGTTGGAGATGCAGAGCGTGTGTAATGTGGTGAGAATATATAAAATCGGCGAGGAACACAATAAAATATGGAGAATTTGAGGGTCCGTTTCGCAAGAGGCACACCTGTTTTGCAAAAAAGGCAGAGCAGCAGTTCCACAAGTCTTCAAATAAAAAATAAAAGCTCCTAACGCTAACTAAAACACAGAGAAAACTTGAAGCTCGTGATGCATCGTGCTGTGATAGTTTGTAGTCTGGAAGTCTAGCTGATGAGATATATGATAAGAAAACCAGAACAATTTGGTAAATGTACAAAAGAATGAAGAGAGGCTTTATACAGAGGAGTGAAAATAAAAAAGGAAAAAAAAACAGGCTGCTGATGGCGAGCAAAAACTTTATCTACTTTACAACTCCCCATAGACCAAATCAAACATCTTTTCACTGCGAGAGAAAGAGAAAAGGAGAAAGCAAGAGGGAAAAAAAGAGAGATCCCATTTCCCTCCCTCCCTCGCTCCCCTCCCCTCTCTTTTTTTCCCCTTTTCTTCTCTCCCCTCTCGCTTTCTCTCCTCCCCTCCGCTCCGTCCTGCTCGGTGTTTCGCCTTAGCTCTTTGCGTGAGTGGAGCACAATAAAGGATTTAATCAAAACTCCTGAACAAGCAAAAGCCCTGTGGCAGTGTGCCAGGCCCGGCCCGGACAGGCAGGCAGGCAGCGCCTCCTATTCGGCCCCAGACCGGGGCTGTGAGCTGGGGGGTGAGGGGGGGAGGGGAAGGGAGGTACTGGGTGAGGGGTGGGGGTAACGCTGGGAGCAGGGAGGGCCTGGCCTGGCCGGGGCTTGGCAGTAGGCTTCTGTTCCTGGCACGGCTCGGCTAAACCGCTGCTGATTATTAATTTGGGGAGTTCAGACAAGAAACGCCGCGTCAGCACATTCCGTTCCCCTCTCTCTCTCTCTCTCTCTCTCTCTCTCTCTCTCTCTCTCTCTCTCGCTCGCGCTCTGGTTCTTGTTCTCAGTTTCTCTGGATGTCTCTCTGCCTCGCGCTCCCTCTCGCTGTCCTTTGCTCCCTTGCATTCTTGCTCTTGCTGGACTCTCTCTCTTCTCTGCTCCTTCTCTTTTCTTTTTCTCCCCTTTTGCGAAAGTTTTTATTCGATCTCTCTTTTCCTTTTTTTCCTCCCTTTTCTCTCTCTGTCTCTCTGTCTCCATGCCTGCCGGTTAAACATGGAAACTTTGCCTGGCAGTGTCTCCGGCTCTCTAGCGAGCACACAGACAGACCTCTGCCTCTTCTTTATCCCTGTTGGCCATTTTGGCTGCCAGGGCCCTTCCCCCCCTCTCCTCTCATCACAGAGTGTCTCTCTTCAGTGTGCAGTACAGTTTTTACATACATGTTAGCACCAAACTACAAACTTTAAATAATATCTTTTGTCACTGCCTTCCAAAACAACTCATATACGCATTGTGAGATTTATAGGTATAAAAGCTACTTAGTGACAGACTGTGCTCCGAGCTAAAACAAAGTAATGTAACAGTTTGTTCTCCTTTCAGTCCAGAAACAGCACTGCATTAAAACAACTCAAGCGGTTGTGTTCGCGGGGGTATGAGAATATGAAATACAATCCAGGGAGTCCAGTTTGAGTAATGGATCCATAAGTTTTAAGACTTTTCAGACACCACAACACTGAAAAATGATTTGTAACAGGATACGACTATGGAAAGTTATCACAGCGACAATCATTTTATCCTCCACCTAAATCCTCTCTCACACATAGTTCCCAGTAAATAACTGGGATAACCTTTCAGGCGCTGGTAATGATTTTCACTATTCACACCTGCAGGACATTCAGGAGCATTTTTATTTTGCGCCTTTTCGCTTATCCCCTGGCAATGGCAGAATAAATTGGGCAGGGGACAGTTCAACAGATGGCTAGAAACTCAGAGAAAATGAGGATGGATTCAGGCTGGATGTAGGTGTACGCAGCACAAGACACTTCTTACTGTTTTCAAGAAAATGGGAGGTGAAGAGCTGTTTTTTTTCTGTGCCAGTGTCCTTGTGATGTATTTAGTATTCAGCAAGTTTGTATTGGTGTATATGCTGAACCATAAATGAGTTACAGATTCAAATACGTCATCAGTGGTGTCTCGTGATTGTTGGCTCGCTCCATGTGAAAGTTTCTTTCGTCAGATGGATGTAACCCTTTAGGTGCGTGTCCCTGTACCGTTACTGCTTTCATTTACAGCTATACCTGCATTTCCCTGAAAGGTTACTTAGTCTTGAGGTGGGAAATTGGCAGCACAGAGGTCCCTGAATATGGATCCCTGCTCCCATTCACACATGACCCCATGCAGGAAATGTTCCTGAACATTTCAGGGATAGTCTGCAAGTGTGAAAGGGGCTTAACATATATATCCATACCTATACAGAGTAATCTGCAACAAGTGTGAGCTTGCTCATCTGTGATTGGTGCGTTGACCTAATAATATCGTTGTGTTGCAAAAATATGAGCACAGTTAAACTTTTTTGCCGGGCAACCCTGTATTACTTACTAGCTAACTCTGTCTGCAGCCCTGTAGATGTCTCATTGAAGTGAACGCGATGGCTTAGTTTTTAAACAGTGCTAATGTAGGCCTGAGCACAGCCTTTGGCAGTTTTGTGGCTCAGTAACATCACACAAGATCTGTCTTTGCGCCTGAGAGACAAGATTTGAAGTCTCAACAAACCACTGAACTGATTTTTGCTTGTTTCTGCCTTTGCACGTTCGATACAATCAGTCCATGAAGAAAATGTTGGCAATGTCCGTTTCTACAAACCACAGATACGTTACAGTTGTACATTTTGTATGAATTGTATCAACATTTCAGAAATAACATCGTTCTGAAAACATGTAGAAGAGCTGACTTTGTCATCGGGTGACAAGGTGGAGAGGATAGGGGATGGCATGACACCTGGGCAAGACAGCTGCCAAGCTGTGAACCACTGTTCGAGACCAACAAATAACAAAAGTGGATATTTTTTAAGCATGTTATCGTTGGCATTTCCAGCCGTGAATTTGCCACCAAAGCGGTTGCTTTTAGCGAGACATTGATGGTACTTTCAGTCTTGAATGTGACACCAAATCTGGTTGTTTTTAGCAAGACATCGGTGGCAATTCCAGCTGTGAATGTGCCACCAAAACAGGCTGATTTTGGGGAGACACAGGTGGCAATTCCAGCTGTGAATGTGCCACCAAAACCGGTTGTTTTTAGCGAGACATCGGCTGCACTTCCAGCCGTGAATGTACCATCAAAACCAGTTAATTTTGGGGAGACATCGGCTGCACTTCCAGCCGTGAATGTACCATCAAAACCAGTTAATTTTGGGGAGACATCAGCAGCACTTCTAGCCATGAATGTGCCACCAGAAACGTGAAAACAAATTCTTTCCTAACCATAACCACGTGTTTTTTGTGCCTAAACATAACAACACAGTATCAAGTTTCAACATATCAGCTACATAATAAAGTACAAATGTTTCACATCCATGGTTTGCAGAAATGTACTATGCCAACATTTATTCTGGCAAGTGGTTTGTATAAAATGCCCTGACTTACAACAAAACTCACCAACATGTCATTCTTCATATTGCTTAATTCCACGCCTTCATTTAATTAAAACATTATTGCCAGAGTAAGTAAACGCTGTCTAAGTAAGGCTGGATTGTCATAATCACAGATGCAGCCAAATGCAAATGCTATTGCTTCAGAAAGCAGAATGTATTAATTATTCAGCACAAGCCAATCTTCATGGAGCTCTTCTGCGGCTGAGTTTAGGCAGGATGCAAGCAATAAAACATGGAAATCAAATAAAGCAGGGAAATAAGTACAAATATAGGCTATAAAACCACAAAATGAATGTTCTCCAACAGTTTGGGAGGGGAGCGGGAAGGAACGTTCACACTCCTACATGCAAACAAACATAGACACTTTATTTCACTGTCTCTAAACTCAAAAAGAAAAAAAATAACTTTGACTTTCGTGCAAAGGAGTCCTTTTTTTTTTTTTAGTTTTTCCTGCCAAAAGCAGTCCTGTCAGGGTTTTGGAAAGGTATGGAAAAAGAGTGAAAGGCAGAGAGAGGCAGAGATAAAGTAACAGCAACTTGTTAGTCAATTAGAACCACTTCCTTGGCAGACTGCACACTGGGAGACAGGCTTATGACTTGACATGCCCTGAGACGTAGCCAATGGGAGAAACAGATAGAGAGAAAGAAGGAGAGAGAGAAAAAAAAGCATGACGGAGTGTAGTTTGGCACTCTTGCACTTTAACAAGAAAGTCCCGGTGCATCTGAGGCCTTATAAGTCTAGTTTATGCATGCATTCATTGTCAGAGAATTTTTCCAGGCAAGTTCTCATGACTGTGTTTACAGTTTTTCTTCAGAGATGCTTTGATAAAGTCAGAGTAACATCATCCATGCTGTAAACTACAAAGTCATGTGTGACTATCTACACATGAAGCTGGAACTGTGATGGTCGGGTGAATGTTGCAGATCCTGTCTTTGTGCGTTAGCTCGCTCAATCTAGGGCGAGCAGCAGACAGGCAAAAAGTAGACTGGATGAAGCAAAGCTATGTGAGGCAAAATATTTGCTCTGTATCTTCTGCATCAGTGTGCTTATGTAACACGTAGCTGGCTCTGCTGCATTCTCCCTCTCAGAGGTCTGTGTCAGAAACTGAAGCTTCTCCAAATGCAGAGATACAGCATGAATTCATTCACAGGATTTCACTGCCTGAATTAAACCTCTGGAATTTCCTCACTTTAGTCCAACACCCCCAACACTTTGGATCTGTACAGATTTTTCGTGAATGTGTGGCACTGAAATTTGAGTATGCATCTTAACTACCACTATTGGCACAACAACTGATCATTTGCTATGTAGTAAGAACTTTGGATTTCGCTGTTT